GATGTTAAATGTTTCTGGAAGAACCTTGAATGCCCAGGGACTTTCACACCCTGCTGCTCATAATCTCCTGATCACTTTAGAACCAGGATCGCCAGGGACCTGGATATACTGGAGCACGTGTCCCCAGGAGTATGTGTATCCATCTGATACCACTCCCGAGTAGAGCTCCATTCTGGTGTCAAACGTTGACAACGTGAGGACTGACTTTCTAATGGAAACCATTGCTAGCCAGGGCAAGGCTGTGCTGGTGAACAAGAACAGCCCAAACAGTCATCATCAAAGAATGCACGTCCAAGTATGATTCTGCAAGTCACATGATCAAAAGTCTGAGCTTTTCTTCTGCAAACACCCCTCTGATGTTTCAGGTACTGGCTTTATGGTACTGCTCATAAAAGCCAAGTTTGTGGTGCACCGTGGAAGGCTCACAGCACAACTTCACTCACGGGATGTGTTCACTCAGTCTCATCTGAACTTCCATAGCCATAAAATATTTCTGACATGTCTCCCATTACTTCTGTTATTCACAGCAATAGACTCTCATTGCTTGAATTGGGATGTATAATTGTAAATTGTGGAGAAACACAAAGTATACCTAAGGCTCCAAAAGTCTCAATACTATCTAAAATGCAAGCCTGTGAACATGGAAAAAAAAAAAAATCTCCAAAGGGTATATAATAACACCTTGCAGTGCTAATTCTGGCAATGCATCTTTCTCCAAGAAGGCATCCTGTCCACACTGAACTAAATAGTCTATGTATAATCTTCTGTCCCCTAAAGGATGAAAGATATTTTTATTGTGTAGCTATGTGTGAGATGTCCATTATATTAAATAGAATGACATGGAAGAGGTGAGATCAAAAGAAGGTCAAACTGCTCTACACTGGAAGAGGCTGGAAGAAAAGATATGTAAGAAACAAGGGCTCTAGAAACATGAACAAAAGGAAAGATATATCCAGAGGGTGCTAGAAAATGTCAAAGTCAGAAGGAGAGGAAAGAGAAAGGCATGTCTGTAAGGATGTGTACATGTGGGAAAGAGGAAACAAACACATGGGTTTTGTGGCAGCTCTTTAAACATGAAAATGAAAGATGCTTGAGAAGGATTTAAACATTGTTCATGGTTTGTGACGTGCTACTCAATAAAAATTCTTTAGTAAAGGTCTACATTGTTCTTCCATGCTTCTGGAGTTGGGATGGAAAGAGGCTTTTGCTTATTTAAGAGTGGTTCGGTACACTTAGGATTATACAGTTATTATCCTAAAAATTTTTAAATGGGTTTTTGGAGTATTCTATACTCCAAGGAAGATCCTTACAAAATTCATGACATATATTAAGCACAAATATCAAAATTATTACACAACCATCAAATTTTATCTCACAAAACAATAAGGTGTATCAAATAAATAAAATTTAGGAGAGAAAGGGAAGTACTAGAAAAACAACTATATTTTGTGTCCATGGTTGTCTCTCAACTATTTCTTAACCAAAGATCTAACTCTACTATACATAACATCCTCAAATCAAGGAGCTATGGCACATATGGAAGCTGAAAAACTAAAAGTATAAGCTTAATAAAAAATTTGAAGTCCAAAACTATGATGAAAATGAAAATCAAGATTGAGGGAATGGTAGTTTGGGCTCATTTTTTTACTCTGAAAGTCTTATTAATGTTTATTTTTGTAGTACAGCAATTAACCACTAAGAAGAATATATGCAGTGTACTATTTGTTGAAACTGTACTTCCGATTGGATTTGAAACTGTCTCATTGCTGTTTATCAATAAAACTTTGAAAAAAAATGCTTATTTTTGTAAATTGGAAATGTCAGTAAAATGTTCTTCCACTTAATATTTTGGGTAATGTTTAATGTTGGACTACATTTTAAGTCACCCCCCCCCATGAGTCACCATGTATATTCCTCAAGTGTGAAAAAAGGTATATTCTAAGGAAAAATAATGTTCCCTATCAGATTGGTAATAATTTTTATTTTCTTCCCTCAAGGTCCTATTTGTGGTAATTTATATTTTTGTTATTAATGAACATTTATATTAATACGTAGCTTTTACTAATAAAAATTTGGTGTGTATGAGAAATTTTATTCATCCTAAAGTTCCTGAGGTAAGAGTTAGCAATAAATCAGTATATAAGTTGAAAATTATTTTAACAGAATTTTTTTTGTTTTTGGAACTGGGACTTGAATTCATGACCTCATACCTGCCAGGCAGGCACAGGGTCACCAAGCTATCTCCCAAGACCCCAAGAACTGGGTATTTTTAAGAGATTGTAATTGCAGATATCCTACAAAGCATTACACTATCTTATTCAGCTTAGAAGTTACAAACTGAGTTCTATTCCAATTATCTGAATTTCTGAAACTAAAGATATAAAAGCAGAATGCAAGTCAAATTATCAAAACAGCATTTCTATTCAATTTAGTGACACATCTTATACCTTCATGGAGAACAAAATTATGCAAAATATTTCAAAGCAATGAACTGACTACATGAAAAAATATTTAAGATTTAGAACACAGTTCATAGGCCTAATATCACTAAGACAATCAAATTACTGACCTCAGTAAAGGGAAATAAATACTCTTGTAAGAGGTCTGAGTGATCTCAGTTGTACCATATTCTGAATATTTTTATTTTTTAGAAAAGCTGAGAGATATGAGAGCAAGCTTTCTACACAGAAAATCCTACCCTGTAGGTGTGCAGTTGCTATACTTCACAGTGACTCTATAACCTGAGTTTTTTCCCCTAATCACTTTGTTCTGAATCTCTCACATGTTGGTTTCTGAACAGCCACGTAAAATTTTAAAAAAATCCACAGCTAAAGTTGCAAGTTTCATGAGGGAGGTCTAGGGATGGGATTTTCAAACACAATTCCAACTCATTAGTATTTTGTGTGATCAAACAGTGAGTACTAACTACTTGGTTAGGTTGATCAAAAGAAGATCAACAATTTTGCCTTCTTGGAGACAAATGGATGAAGCCAAAGAGAAAAATTACACCAAGAATGTAATCTTACTACTTCTAGTTAGATCCACTTTTCGAGGTCAAAAGTTTAAGTTTTTCTATTTAACAGAAGTCAAGACTATGTCTACAAAATATATGCTCATATATCAGCTAGAAATGCAAAATATCTCTGGCATATAAAAGATCTGATGAACATGGCATTGCCATTTAAATTAAGATTTCATTCGTTATGCATCTGAAATCTTTTAATTATCTTAATATTAACATTAATCATTATTTTTAACATTTCTCTATGTTGCTGAAATATATTTCAGATCCCTCAAGTAATATTCGAGGTTGTACTTTAAAAACAAATGAATATCCAAAATATGCTTCTTCTAGAGAAAGCAATTTGGGCATAACATTTTCAAATGACAAGGCTGCCTAAGGCCAGGATTAGGACAGGGAAGGGAGAGTGTTAGAACAGAAATCAGCAATCTTCCCATGCAATTAACGCTCACACTTCATTATCTAGTTGTTGCATAGAGAGATGCCAAAGCCTTAGTAAGATATCAATCTTAAACAATCACGTTATTTCCAACCAAAGAGACAATGTTGCACAGCTAAATTATGTTTTTTCCTTTTTCTCACTCCATATCTAAGCTTGTAGAAGGGTAGAAATTGAGTATTTGTCAGATAAAAAAAGTTTTTAAATTCAGAGAAATTCCACTTTCCCTTCTTAGTTTTCCTTCCAAGCTTTTCAAAACTGTATTACATTTGAGATAAACATAAATTACTGCGCAACAAATTGAGGAAGGTGAGTGCTTAAGATTGTGTATAAACTTCACTCTGCCAGAAAGCAATTCTCTTTTCAGTCCCATTTCTAACCACCTTGGCACTGAGAACAATTCCAAATACCTAGAATACAAATGTTCTTCTACTGCCATAACTAGATGGCTTCAGGGAAAGTGAAAGACATGAAGATGCTTAAAAAATAACAGTGGCAAATGACTGGATTAAAACAATCGTAGAAATTCAAAAAAAATCTACTGGAATGATATTAATAACTTCATTGAAATGATTTATTTTAGTCTGCAGCATCTGATAAGATACTATCAAAACTCTAGAAAGACAAAAATCAACTTTAATATAGTCTACCATATTATGTCTATATAAATGCTCAAATCAGCACTGGCTGAGTGAATTTATGCTCCATCATTACCGATTATCTGTTGCCTAGAACTAATAATTTAATTCTGATCTCTTACCACTTAAATAGACCATTGCTAATCTGAGCTTAGCAACAGTCTTGGTTTTAGCCACATGTGCTATAGAAGGCTCCCTATCACTTAATATAAAACCGATCTGTAGCATAGAACTTAAAGAATAAATCAATATAGTAATTTCATCCTATTCTAGAAGGACTTTTTTTTTTGATGGCTCAGGAGTCCTGAAGGTCAGGAATGGTAAGGCATGAGGATCTGGGGATCGAACCACAGCATCCCAAGCCTGACTGCTTTATTTAAGCAGGCACTTAAACAACTGAGCTAATGGGCAGGCCCCACATCTTATTCTATATGGAAAAAATTACAAAAGTTCACTCTGAGGGTCACTGCCTATCCCTTTGATTTACATTGTTGTAGTAATTATTATTTCCCATGAAATTCTTTAGATTAAGTTTTTTTTTTTTTTTGCGGAACCAGGGATAGAACTCAGGCCCTTGTGCTTGCCAGGCAAGCACTTATTCTACTGAGCCATCTCCCCGGCCCCAAAATTTGTTTTTGTTTGTTTTTTTTTTTTTTTGGTGGAACCGGGTATTGAACTCAGGGCCTTGCACTTGCCAGGGAAGTGCTTATTCCACTGAGCCATCTCCCCGGCCTAGATTAAGTTTTAAAACTAATTTTGAAATCAAAATCTTACAGGTGCCACTTGAACACTATGGGCCACTAAAGACCTGTTAAGAATTTTAGATTTATGCTTTGCATATTCCATGCTAGGCACTTTGTACTTTTATTGTCCATTTAAATCCTCATCAAAACTATGAGGTAGCTTTGCGCAGTGGCAGTATCGTAGCCAATGAGGTTTATCCGAGGCGCGATTATTGCTAATTGAAAACTATGAGGGAGGCAATATTTTAATATGTACTTTACAGAAAACTCAGGTCTACAAAAATTAAATAAGTAACCCAAGGTGGCAATGATATTAAGCTGTAGGACAGGCCCTAGGATGACTCCAGGCCCATATCATGAACCACTATATGTAACACTGTACCAAGTGTACAAGAACACACGGGGTACCTATATTATTTGCAATTTCTGAAAGTAGTAGTGGGGAATGAGTATTTTTGGAGCAAAATTTAGTTTACTATTACAAAATATTAAAACTAGGGCTTAGCTTGAGGAAAGAGGAAAGTCTGAGCTAATGATTATTAAGTATACTTTTGTATCTTCACTATTCAAATGCAATTTTTAAATTACTTTCAAAATGTACCTCACTTCAAGATTATAACCTTTTTTTACTTCAAAAAAAAAAATACATGTTAGATTAACCAGTAGTTGGAAAATTCTTTTGCTTAAGCTTAGAACTTTAGAAAATGACTCACAACAGAGACATATATGGAAAGCAAGACCTACCCTCACACATTCTCTACCACCAATGAGCCAATAGATGTTTAGGCTGAGTAGAGAACCTGTTTTACCAGAATAGGAGCTAATTGTTCTGAGTAGCTTTTATAGAACTTCACTTGTGACTTTAAAACATATTTAAGTGTTTGCATTAAAGTATTATGGAAAAGGAGTTAGTTTGTAACAAAGTCCTCTTATTTCTAATTGAATTTAAAATCTTATTTGATGAAAAAAAGCTACATATGAAATGTTAGAAATGTAATGATTAATCATGTTTATGCTTCAAATCAACAATGATAAACCAAGTGGGTTCAGTTGATCTCAAATTCAAATACAACATAAACTAAAATAAAAATGTGTTTAAAGGCAAATTAATAGGAATCAATAATTGGGATGACCAACTAAATGGCACAAAATGAGCCAATGTGAATAATCAAATACATGTGTTGTCAACACACTTCACGGTGGAACTCGGAGAGACTGGAAAGAGACATTGTGGATACTCCTCACAGCAACACAGTTAAGTACTTCGTATGGTTAATAAGCTGCACCCGATGAACAGCACTTTGCTATCAGGCCTTTGACTCTGGCCTTTCCCACAGGCAGCAGAAACTTAACATGCAAAGAATAAATTCCTGCAAGAAAGCAAGCAAAGAAGGTCTCTTATAGAAAGTAACTTCTCATTGACCTTTGGAAGCTTAAAGGATTCATACCAGTGTCACTAAAATGAGTGATATTTGTAGAAACCAATGTATACAATTCTCTCACTACCTATCCTAGAAAAAAAATTCATTTCTAAGTGAATAAATACAAGGGGTTTACTCACAAGATATCCTTAAGAATACAGTAAAATCTGATTTTAAAATAATACCTCAAACTTTATGACAAAATTTAACAGTTTCTAGGAATTGCTTTCTGTTTACTAAATGAGTTAAAAAAAAAAAAAAACAACAACAAACCCAAAACTGTAGAGGTACAGGAAAAAGTGTACTAATGCAACAAAAATACAGAATATTTCATGTATTTGTGTGTCCTCCTTACACAGGGGCCACGTTAATCTTCTCTGTATCATTCCAATTTAGTACATGTGCTGCCAAAGAAAGCACTGTAAAACCTGACTTTGTCAAGTCATTTAATCAACTGAAAATTGTGAAACTTAAAGACTGGTGCTCTCCCTAATCTATAGTGGTTGACTAAACAGTGCTGCAGATTCCAGACATCTGAGCACTTAATTTCAGTCTCTATTCTCTACTTCTACTTCTTCCTTTTTTTTTTTTTTAAAGGGTTTACAGGGTGTTCAGGGCCTCACTACTAGATCGAACTCATAGTGATCTGCCTGTTTACAGCCTCTCAAGAGCTGGGATTACAGGTGTGAGCCACCACACCCAGTCTCAATTGCCATTTTAGCGCACCCTGGGGGGTGGGGCCAGCATGGCAGGCCTGGAGATTGAACCCCAGGCTCCTGTTTGCAGGCACTTTAATCCGCTGAGCTATTTGGCCAGCCTCTCTTCTCTACTTCTGTATAGTAGAGACTCCTTCCTATCTGAGGGAAGTCATGTTAAATTTCATATTAAACTGTAATATTATTAAAGAAAAGAGATATGGATGTTTTTATATATTTATTTATTTATTTAGGTAATAGGCTCAATAATGTAGCCCATTACTGAGCTATTCTGCTGAGCTACAATCCCAGCACCTTTTATTTTGACATAGGACCTCCCTGAACTGCCCAGGCTGGCCTTGAACTTTCAATCTCCCTGCCTCAGTCTTCCAAGTATCTGGGATTACAGATGTATATCACTGAACTAAGAGTTCTTAGCTACCTGCTACAAACTGTCCTGCCACTATTAGACAGGGAAGTGGCTTTCCTAGTTCCTAGGTGTTAGCATCTCATTTGATTCACTCTCTTAGCATTCAGTAGTGTTTGTGCCACAGCTGTTCTAAAACAGAACCCCCAGGATTAGAAACATTGATAATGATATCATCAAGAAACTACTCTGATACAATTATTAAAGTATTTGTTAGTTTCAGAAGCAAAAAAGGCAAAGGAATTTAGATGATATACTGCACTGATAATAGGATGACTGGTCTGGGGGTTTGGTATAGGAACTGCTAAAAATATGTCTCATTTTAAAAACAAAGGAGTAGAGAAAAATGTGCTGTAAAAATAAAGAGCACCCTGTGGTCTTCATTAATTATATCATTAATTATTTCCATTCAAAAGAAGTTCTAATTCAGTTTATATTTTTATTAACACTGCCAACCATCAAAACTGCAAGGGTAATTTTTAATGAATAAATTTTAATAATGTATAAATTGCAGTTAAAGAGCTCAAGTCTCTGAAGATCAATTTTAAAAGCACTTGACCAGACTGTCCTTGAAAATCTCCTTCGCCAGCTTGTAACTATACATCCCTTCCATGGGTGTTTCTGCAGGCCTGCTTTTCCAAGTTAAAGTCATTGATTAGCTCAAAAGAACAAAGTAATGAAGTCTTTCTAAATGGTTCATTTGTTTTCTCTTAAGCTATTTTACTGAGCAAAATGCAACTAAGCAATTACTTATCTGCATTTATTATGTCATAAATTTCACAGCAGGTATGGTTGCATGAACCTATAATCCTAGCACTCTGGGAGGCTGAGGCAGAAAGGCTTGAGTTCGAGCCCAGCCTGGGCAATTTATCAACTTAGTAAGGCTTTGTCTCAAAATAGTAAGTGAATATTTCTTACTATCTTTTAGTTTGCTTTCTGTTTATATTTTGGGTTTCTCCTGTAAGAGAAAACATAAATAAATAAAGCTGAGGATGTAGCTCAGAGCAAAAGCCCTTGGTTTAATCCCCAGAAATCCCCTACAAAGAAATTTCAAAAGAAAAAAAAAAAAAGCTACTAATTTTCAATGTGAAGTTACAATTGTCTCCTATTCCCGTTGGTATAGTTTAAGTAGGGATTTAATATCCCCCCAAAAAAACCTACTTAAGTGACCTTATTAATGAATCCCTGTATGATGTATTGATTAAAGGTAAGTTTCTTGACCTTTAGTGTAACATCACATGTTAAAACTTCCTCCTCAGGTATGCTGGGTACTATATTCTCAAGGACTTGTGCAGCATTTCAATTGTCACATTAAAGATAAAGTACGATAATTTAAAGTGACAGGAACTGAATCATTATGGAGGGAGCAGGGAAAGGACATGAGCATGCACTGAACTTTTGTCTCTGAAGCATTACTATGGATTCTGGAGCATTAATTAATTTAAAACACATGCTGCTGAGTCAGTACCTGCCAGAAATCCTGATCAGGAGATAAGAAAAAGAAAAGCAGATGACATTGTTTGATTATATGAACAAAATCCACAAATCAAATATACATATCACAAAGTTTAATACAGAAAGGGACAACTAAAACCTGTAAAAATAACACTGAGCACCTGGAAATAAAAAATGATGAACGTACAGAAATGTTCTGATATTATCTGTTAAGCACAGTACAAAGATCAGTGCAGCAATGCGATCTCAAGCTCACCAGAATGAAACACAAAGGAAAATACATGAAAATTATCTGTTTCTTAAAGAAAAAGGATCACACATTTCTTTTTTCTTATTGATGATCAAAATATTTTAAAATTAAAGTTTATTCTCAGAATGTTTCACATTTCATGCAAATATATATATTTTAATTTTTTTATTATCTAAAAAGTACAAAATAGTAACAAAACATTAGAAACAATACAAAAATTCACCAAATAAAACAATAGGAATTCGACAATATGTATTTTTTTAACTTCTTGGCAAATGGGTTGCTTTGCCACCTACATTACCATATAAGCAACCAAATATGGATGAGTTCACAGAATTAGTGTCTACTCAAAGGAAAGGCTGAAAATGGCTACTAATAACAGGTATCCTCCAAAATTATGCTGTATGAAGTTAAGGGTTATCCACATAGATAATGCCTTCACAGAGGCTGGCACTTGAGGAAGTTATTCAAATTAGCTAATTTAGATGGCTAAGTACTTCAAAATATCTTTGAGAAAAATATTATTATTATTATTATTATTATTATTATTATTTTGTTTTTGAGACAGGGCCTTGCTATGCAGTTCAGACTGGCCTTGAGCTCACTTTGTAGCCCAGGCTGGCCTCGAACTCACAATGATCCTCCTGCCTCAGTCTGCCAAGTGCTGGGATTATAGGCATATGCCACCATGCCTGGCTCAAATGTTTTTATCTTTTAATAAAATATTAGCAGTACATTATGGCTACATTCCTAGCATGGAGTTGGTAACACGCACATAATACATCCTAGTTCTTTTCTCATTCCCCTCCTCTCTCCTCTCCTGCCTCCCTCTGTATCTCATGGTTCTCTTCCCTTATGCAAAAGATGTCTTCCTATTTCTTACTATCTTTTAGTTTGCCTTTATTTACAATTTGAATTTCGCCTATAAGAGAAAATGTGCAGTATTTTAGCTTGTGTCTGATTTACTTCATTTAACATTACGGTCTCAAAGTGCGTCATTTTCCTACAAAAGACTCAAGTTTAGGTCAAAATAGTTTAATTTTTTTCATTAAACAAACTTTATTGCTGTGAAATAAAATTTGATATAAACTTCCTATCATTTTCAAACGAAGTTTACTAGTTCTATAAAAGTCCTTGACTAAAATAGAGATGCTATTAGTAATTTATAAAAACATAGCTGGGATTGACATGATAGAGGCCCAAAGGATTTTAAGGCACAGGAGATGACCTATGAACATAGGACAGCTCAGCTATGACTAATCAAAACTGAGGTTTCTCTTGGGTAATTTTCTAGAATTTTAGCCCAGGCAAATTTCTCATCACAGAGACAGACTATGAGATTTTTTATAGCTGACTGTATTGGAAAGAAAAGAACCATGAAGAGAACAATTATGTACAAGGTATGTTGTTCCATAGTATTTCATATAAAGAAAGGCTATCTATATGATAGCAAGTAACTCTTTTAATAAATTGAGTAAAGGGCCCAAAGTCGTGCAAAATACCTCAAATGTGTAGAATCTGACACTTTATCAACTGTCCAGTTTTACTGAGAAAGTAACTGGCACTCAGAGGTTAACAGGTGTCTTACCCAAGGATACTGACTGTGCAGCGGACTCCACATTTGGATGAATACATGACTATTTCTATGTCCGCACTCCCTTTATCCTACACTAGTACACTTAAGTACAGCAGTCCACAAGACTGTATTTTTTCGTGCCAGATTCAGCATGCTTTATAACATCTACGAATCATTTACACAGGACTGTCAAATACTGAGATGCTAAAACAGAAATGCTTGGGCAATATTCCAGACAGCAAAGCAAGGTATTTTTTCAGGGCTATTGTGTGGGGGAAAAAGGAAAGTTGTTACTTTGTAAGAAAAGAGAAAATTGTGAACATGTTTTGAATATAACTTAAAGTTAACTTGAGGTATGAAATAAAATGGTAAATTTTTTGACTAAAAATAAAACAAAATTCTAGCAAATGTCAAAGGATTAAATATTTCTGGATGCTGGGGATTGAAAACAGAGCCCTTCCCATGATAACTATAGACTTTTACTACTGATAGCAATGATTCCCTCATGCTGTCGCAACACCTGAATTCACTCAATTACATTCTAAATATCTGCTCACCTAAAAACTACAACGAGCAGCTCTATTCTCTTGGAAAATAGCCTTTAACATTATATTTGAAGCAAGGAAATTCTTTTAAAATCAGGAAAAGAACAAAGATTCATTAGAGGTTGTTGAAGAAGTTTTAGTTAATTTAGTAAGTCAAAAACACATTGAGAAGTATAAATACAGAAAATTATCATCTTTTGCATGTGATATTAGTAGCTCTGTTCAAATGATGCTATATTTAACACATAGCTAATCAGTATTTTAAAAGATAAGGAAGTTTAGGTTTTGACAGAAACGTTATTTTCTCTATTAGCCTGACTACAATCAGCAAAAATCTGATTTCTCAAATATGGATGACACTTCTCTCTTTAAGAGAGATGCTTTAATAAAAAAAAAAGGTACTTCTCAAAATACTGTTTGATAACTCATGGTATGTAAGAAAATAATGGAACAAATAACAGTGAAATTCACACTCTGATTTCTAAATTCAGGTATTAAAATTTAAATGACTTTCATTTTCTTCTTTAAAATGAAAATGTTAGGTGGTTTTATGTTTATTATGGGTTTCTAGCTCTACTTTATCCAACTGGAAAAAATGAAATTCGACAACTCTTACCAAAAAGAACATGAAAGATCAAGGGTTATTTTGAACAAATGGCATTAAGTAAGGCAGTAAAATAACAGAACTCTTTGACAAGAGAAATTCTATTTATATACAGGCCACATAGAAAAACCAGTTTAGATCTATGAAAAGACAGCATTTAGTAGTGTGGACTTTGTAGCCAGGCTACTGATTTAGAATCCTGGCTCTATTACATGCTGGTGATCTGATTGTAGAGTAGTAACTTGACTTTTCTGGCCCTTCCTCTCTTTTTTTTTTCCTCTCTTAATCTGGTTCTTATTTGTTTTTCTTTTTAGACAGTACCTCACCATGCTGCCCAGTCTGGCCTCAAACTTATGATTCTCCTGCCTCAAACTGTTGAGCACATAGGATCATAGGAACGCACTACAAGGAACTGCTCTTAATTCATAAAATGATACAAATAGCTATCTAAGAAAGACTGTGGACTAAAGGAACAGTCATGTGTAAACACTCAGAAAACTGCCTGACACACAATAAATCCCTCAAATCTTCAAGTATAATCTTTTTATGTAATTATTGCTATTACTGGTAATGAGTCCCTTTTATGAGTCATGAATTTTCCTCCCCCCCCCCTTTCTTTTCTTTTATTCTTTTCTTTTTTTTTTTTTTCAGAACCGGGGATTGAACTCAGGCCCTTGCACTTGCCAGGGAAGTGCTTATTCCACTGAGCCATCTCCCTGACCCCCTCTCTTTCTTTCTTATACCAGGGATCAAACTCAGCACATTGCACTTGCCAGGAAGGGGCGTATGCCACCAAGCTATCTCCCAGGCCTAGTCATATATTTTCATTCCACTATAAACTGGAAAAACAAACCTCTGACAACCAATGTGCAAATGTGTCACTGGGTTTTTAAAAAATGCTAAATCACTGGGCTGGGGAGATAGCTAGGTGGTCTAAGGGCCTGCCTGGCCAGCGCAAGGACCTGGGTTTAATCCCCTGCACCACATGCCATGCTGACCACTGAAACGGGGCTGGTGGTGCATGCCTGTAAATCCTGTAATCCCAGTACTGGAAAGGCTGAGAGAGGAGGATCACTGTAAGTCCAAGTCTGAGCTGTATAGTGAGACCCTGTACCAAATAAAAATAAAAATGAAATAAAAACACAATACAATACAACAAAATAAAATATTTAAAAACACAAGAAATAATAATTTCAAAAATAATATTCCTCCATGAAATATTTGTAGGGAGCTTCTGGCTTCAATGATCTGAAATACTGTGTATTATCTTAGAAGCTGTTATTTTGTTTTAATGCAAGAATTTCCTTATAAAAGAAAAAGAGGGACCGGGGAGATGGCTCAGTAGAATAAGCATTTGCCTGGCAAACACAGGGGCCTGAGTTCAATCCCCGGTTCTGCAAAAAAAGAAAAAAAAAGAAAGAAAGAAAGAAAAAGAAAAAGAGCTGAGAGTGGTAGTGCTCTGTAAGACCAGCACTTGGGAGGCTGAGGCAGGAGGATCATTGCAAGTTCAAGACCAACCTGGGCTACAATGGGAGCTCAAGGCCAGCCTGAATTGCAGAGACCTTGTCTCAAAAAGACGCCTACTTTAAAACATAAATAAAAGATGAAGAATATAAGTAACATGATAGGGCAAATGAAAACATGCATCACAAGCAAAAACAATAAAATTCTATCTACATATTCACATTTAGTAACAGAGAAATCTAAATAATACATAATAAATGCAACAAGAATTTGGATATGACTGGTTTTAAGTCTTTCAAAAGTGGGAGGGGACATTATCACCTATCTTAAGAACATTGCAGCCTACCCAAATTGAAGAGAACTTAGGCAGCAAAAATATATGGACAGTTATTACAACCCTGTCCCACGGGTCTTCCAGTCCACATCTGCTAAATTACATTTCCCTGATGGTCAATACACTTTCCCTTTTTTGGGCAGGAGGGAGGGGTGAAAGAGCACCTTGTTATATACGCAGACTGGTCTTGAACGTACTAGGTAGCTCAGGTTGGCCTCAAATTTGTGGCAATTCTTCCATCTCAGGCTCCCA